GGGGGGGTGGGAAGAGGGGGGCGGGAGAGAGAGAGAGAGATGGAAGCACTGATGAGGGAAATTCAGCCAGAATTTCTAGTTTGCAGGTTTTCTACTGGGCCCGTGCCACAGGCCCAAGGCCATCTGAAACACAGTCCTGAAAAGCTGGTGGCTGGGCTGTCCTTGTGCCCGGAGAGCACTAAAATGGGCATTTCGAGTACCCTGAGAGCAAGGGGAGACATCCCGTCTGTCCACAGCTGCAAAGGAATATCTGCAGGTTGCACTGCTGCCCCCAGGCCTGGCAGTTGGCCAGTGGTCAGTATTGAACACTCGGAGGGCCCGAGGCACGGCTTTCGACTGACTGCATCTCCTGGGGCTGTGACAGAGAACAGACGCTGGGCAGGCAAAAATTCAAAGGCTGAAACCAGTGGCCCCGAGAAAGACTTTTTCCCTTCTGCTGCAGATGGGTGGCACTGTTGCTAAAAGCTGCCCCCCGTACAGACAGAATTTGCCTCTCTCTCTGCAGGACTGTCATGTATGAGCCACCTGAAGGCTAGGCAGCCTCAGAGGACTCATTTTAGGGTGGTCTAGGGTTGCCCTGGCAGTCCTCCTGCATAATGCTCAAGGGAACGTGGTGACAAAGTTGAAAAGGCTCTCCTGGATTTCCATGATGCCGCCAGGGGTGCAGCAGGCTCTGCTCTTGAGCGGGGCCTCTTGTGGGGTCTGCTCTCTATCCCGCCTCCACCACTCGGGGCCTGCAGGGCCAGGCAGACACCTGGCCCAGCTTCAAGCGCCCCCTCTGCCCTGGCCCGGCTGGCCAGCAGCTTTTATGTGACGGAGTCCGCAGAAGCCTCTTGGGAGAGGGAGGCTGCAGTGAATGCCGGAGAGGACCCTGCCAGGCCTGCCACGGAAACGTGAAGGCTCAGTTGCTATTGAATTTTTCCAAGACTGTTGAGTTGGTGTGTTCAAACAGCCACTGCTGTGTGGGAGAGGAGGGGTTGCAGGTGTTCATGAAGATCCTGTGGTCACGTTCACTGCAGTCCATGCAACTGCCGCTGACGGGGTGATACAGGGTCTGGTCCTGCAAAACAGGCAGGTTATCAGCCGGGCCACGATGGGGAGGTGAACAAACAGCAGCAGCAGTTAACAGCAAGGAGGTAGGGAGGCTCGCAGACCTGTCTGGCTCTCCTCTCGAGCACACAGTGGGCACTGCCCGCCTCCCTTGCAGCTGGCCTTGTCACATGCCTAAGCTGGGATGCGGGCAGAAGTGATGCCTGCCACTTCTGGGCTGGGGCCCTAATCACTGCCCATCTCCAGTCAAATTCCATTGGCTTTCAAGGTGGTTTTTTTTAAGAAATGGGCTCAGCTGCCAACATTTAAGATTCCAGAGCCTTCAAATAAACAGCTGAATTTCTGCTTTCCCTTGATGACTGGAGAGTCGGGCATGGTAGGTCTGTGGAACAAACACGTGAGGGAGGGGCTCTGGGGAGCAGGGATGAGGGATCACATTTTTTTTTTTTTTTAAATCGAGCAGGCTTCCCTGTTCCCCCCACACCCTGTCTTACTTTGCGGTACTTCCACAGCTGGTTGCCCTTCATGCTGTGGCAGTCGTAGAGGGTGACGGGGCTGGTGTGGGAGATGGCGTCGAAGCAGAACTTCTTGGTGTGCTGGGGGTCTCCAGGCCGGATGTCCTCTCTCCAGGTGAAGGTGAACACCTGTACACACAGGCACATCGTGAGGCGGACAGCAAAGCTACGGGACTCCCTCTTTTTGTAATCATGGGGAATTTTAAACAGAGGAGTCCAGAAAAAAGTTTATTGACCACACCTGTCCCAGTGACCCAGCTTCGAGGATTACCAACTCATGGCAAATCTTGTTATAGCCTTCCCCTCACCATATCCCACCCACAACGTTATTTTGAAGCAAATCCTGGACATCCTACCACACCAGGTGTCATGACTTCAGTAAATGCCATGATAACAATGAAAAGTTACCACAGAATCTTCCATGTCATCAAATAACTTGAGTTCAAGTGTTCTCAGACTGCCTTATACCTCTCTTTTCACAGTCAGTCTGTTTGAATCAGGATCCAAACCAGGTTCACATATGGTATTTGGTCGATAACTTTCTTTTCAGCAGCTTTACTGAACAATATTTGGCATGCGATAAATTGCCCACATTTAAAGTGTACAGTTTGATACGTTTTGACATAGTTGACACCCGTGAAACCATCATCATCATCAAGGTAGTGGACGTATCCATCACCCCAAAAGCACCCTCACACACCTCTGTAATCTTTTCCTCCTGTCCCTCGCCACTCCTCATGCCCCTAGGCAATCACTCCTCTGCTTCCCATCACTAGAGATTAGTTCACAATTTCTAGAATTTTATATAAAAGGAATCAGACAGTATGTATTTGTTTTGTCTGATTTATTTCACTCAACACAGTTCTGTTGAGATTCATCCATGTTATAACAACATTTATTAGTAGTTCATTCCTTGTTATGGTCAAGTATTTCACTGCATGGTACTCAGTTTACCTGTTCTTGGACATTTGGGTTGTTTTCAGTTTTTGGTTATTTCAAATAGAGTTGCTATGAACACGTGTGTACCAGCCATTGTATGGACGTATACATAATTTCCCTCGTGGATAAATCCCTTGAAAAGGGATGCCTGGATCCATGTGTAACTTTCCAAGAAACTGCCAAACTGGTTTCCAAAGTGGTTGTACCAGTCGCATTCCCACCAGCAGTGTGTGCATGGTTCCAGTTCGTCTACATCCTTGCCAACCCTTGGTATGGTCAGTCTTTTTAATAGATTATCATTTTAATTTCCATTTCTCTAATAACTATGAGGTTAAGCACGTTTGATGTGTTTATTTGCTACTGACATGCCTTCTTTGCTAAAAATGTCTGTACATACCTTTTGCCCATTTTTAAATTGCATTGCTTATATTCTTATTAAGTTTTGAGAAATTTTATACTCTAAATATAAGTTCTTTATCAGATATATACTTTGTAAACATTTTCTGTCTGTCTGTGGCTTGCTTTTCTATTTTCTCAACAGTATCTTTTTTTTTTTTTTTGCGGTACGCGGGCCTCTCACCGTTGTGGCCTCTCCCGTTGCGGAGCACAGGCCCCGGACGCGCAGGCTCAGCGGCCATGGCTCACGGGCCCAGCCGCTCCGCGGCATGTGGGATCTTCCCGGACTGGGGCACGAACCCGTAACCCCTGCATCGGCAGGCGGACGCTCAACCACTGCGCCACCAGGGAAGCCCTCAACAGTATCTTTTAAAGAACAGAAATTTTTCATTTTGAAGAAGTCCAATTTATCAATTTTTTTCTTTTATGAATTGTCTTTTGGTGTTGTATCTAAGAAATCATGGCTTGGGTTACCAAGGTCACAAACACTTTGCCTATGTTTTCTTCTAAAATATTTTGTTTTAGGTTTTATGTTTAGGTCAATGCTCCATTTTGAGTTAATTTTTGTATATAGTCTAAGGTATTTATTGAAAAAAATTTTTTGCATATGCATATGCACCACTTGTTGAAAAGATTATATTTTGTGCACTAAATTTCCTTTGAACATCTGTAGAAGTTGGTTGTCCACATACGTGTGGGTCTATTTTTGGATTCTCCATTCTGTTCCATTTATCTTTCTTTATGTCAATATGACACCTTTAATTACTGACATTTTACGATACATCTTGAAATCAGTGTTAGTCTTTAACTTTGTACTTCTTTTGAAATTTTGTTTTGGCTATTCTAGGTCCTGTCCATTTTCCATATGAATTTTAGAATCAGTTTTTCAATTTTTACAAAAAAGCCTACTAGAATGTTAGGATTCTGTTGAATTTATAATTTCTTTGGATAGAATTGATATCAATTATTGAGTCTACCAACCTATGAACATGGTATGTATCTTCATTTATTTAGAACTTCTTTAGTTTCTATCAGCAATATTTCGTAGTTTTCGGTACACAGGTTTTTCACATCTTTTGTCAGTTTCACACCTGAGTATTTCATATTTTTTGTCATTGTAAGTGCTTGTTTTTAATTTTAACTTCAGATTCTTCATTATTAGTATATAGAGAAACAACTGACTTTTGTATCATGCAACTTTGCTAAACTCAGCTACTAGTTCTGGTAGCTTCTCTGTAGATTTTATTGAATTTTCTACATAGATGATCACATACTCTGAAAATAAAGACAGTTTTTGTTCTTTACTTCCCACCTGGATGAAATTATTTTTTTCTTGCCACAGGTTAGAACCTCCAGAACAGTGTCAAATCGAAATGATAAGGTTGGAATCCCTGTCTTGTTCCTGATCTTAGTGGGAAAGCATTCAGATTTTTACCATGAAATATGATGTAAGCTGTAGAATTTTTACAGATGCCCTTTATCAAGTTGAGGAAGTTCCTTTCTAGTCCTGGTTTGCTGAGAGTTTTTATTAGAAATGGATGTTAGATTTTTTTTTTTTTTTTTTTTTTTTTGCGGTACGCGGCCTCTCACTGTTGTGGCCTCTCCCATTGCGGAGCACAGGCTCCGGACGCGCAGGCCCAGCCGCTCCGCGGCACGTGGGATCTTCCCGGACCGGGGCATGAACCCGCATCCCCTGCATTGGCAGGCGGACTCTCAACCACTGCGCCACCAGGGAAGCCCCTGGATGTTAGATTTTGTCAAATGGTTTTTCTAGGTGTGCTGAGGTGATCATATGGTTTTCTTTTTCATTTTGTTAACGGTGAATCATATTGATTAATTTTCTAATGTTAAACCAACCATTCATTCCTGGGATAAATTACACTTAGCCATGATGTATTACCCTTTTCATATATTGTTGGATATAATTTTGTAAACTTTTGTTTAGAACTTTTGCATCATGCTCATGAGGGATATTGCTCTGTGTTTTTCTTATAATGTTTTAGTCTGGTTTTGCTATTAAGGTAATGCTGGCCTCATAAAATGAGGTGGGACGTATTCCCTCCTTTTCCGGAAGAGTTTCTGTAGAATCAGTAACTTATCTTCTTTAAGCATTTGAGAGAATTCACCAGTAACTCTATCTGAGCCTGTGATTTTCTTTGTGGGAATATTCTCAACTACAATGTCAATTTCTTTGTTAGAACCAGGGTGTTTTCCACTCGGGCTGGTGAGAACAGGCATTATTCCTGGCCCAGGTCAGTAAGAGGACTGTATCACACCCCCATCATCACTGGCTCAGGAAACCCAACGTGTGAGAGCCCCAGGACTTCTCCAGAACTCTTGGGAAGGACATGCCTTTCCACTGAGGGGCTGGCAGCCTATGCTGCTGGTGGTCACATCTGCCACCACATGGGAAGACAGCCAGGTTAAGAACGGAGCCAACGGAGAGGGAAGCAGAGCTGAGACCCTAGAGAGATCCTGATGACATCATCTAGACTTTTCAGTGACACCAGCCAGTAACTCCCTCTTTCTGTTGATGGCCACTTGGGCTGGGTGTCTGTCATTTGTAACCAGTAGTCCAGACTGATGTGCAGCGTTCCTCTTTCCAAGGTGCTCAGGAGGCTCTTATAATGCGTACCGTGGGCTGACCTGTGATTCATCTTTTTGGCCGTGCTATGTGAGATCTTAGCTCCCCAAACAGGATCGAACCCACGCCCCCTGAATTGGAAGCATGGAGTCTTTTTAAAAAATTTTTGGCCGTGTTGGGTCTTCTTTGCTGCGTGTGGGCTTTCTTTAGTTGCGGCGAGCGGGGGCTACTCTTCGTTGCGGTGTGTGGGCTTCTCACTGTGGTGGCTTCTCTTGTTGCGGAGCACGGGCTCTAGGGTGCACGGGCTTCAGTAGCTGTGGCACGTGGGCTCAGTAGTTGTGGCGCACGAGCTGAGTAGTTGTGGCTCGTGGGCTCTAGAGCACAGGCTCAGTAGCTGTGGTGCATGGGCTTAGTTGCTCCGCTGCATGTGGGATCTTCCTGGAGCAGGGATCGAACCCGTGTCCCCTGCATTGGCAGGTGGATTCTTAACCACTGTGCCACCAGGGAAGTCCTGAGACTCATCGTTGACCCGTGGCCTCTCCCTCCCAGTCCTGACCATGTGAGCACTGCAGGCCGCGATGGCACAGAGAGCCCGACTACTGGTCCTGAGGAGCGGCCCTTACCTGCATGTTGTTCCAGGCGGCCTCCCCTCGGCCCCGGACGCAGCTCTCCAGCCTCAGTGGGGAGCCCAGGGCCCCATGCTTCGTGTCTGCACACAGCCCTGTGCCCACATTGCGGATCTGGACAAGAAAGAAGCAAAGAGTCGACCAGTTAGCCACCTCGAGATACCTGCCTGGGCCCCTGCTGGGGTGGGGGGAGGGAAACAAGGCAGAGGCATCACATGGGCTGAGTGCTGAATTATCCTAATAAAGCTTGCCCTGGGTTGGTGGGTGGGCCCTGAGCCTCTCAATAAAGGAACACAGAGAGCCGCTCTGCTAAACCCTGCTTTGTCTTAGAGCACGCAGAGTCCTGGGGTGGTGGCAGGTGCCTGGAGGGGAGGGGCTGTTGAAAGGAGGATTCCCCGGCTCCTCTCCCAGAGAATCTGACCCAACAGGTAGGTCCAGGGATCAAATTTTCCCCTCATTCCAGGTGATCTAGAGGCTAAGCCTTGAAAACCACTCTAGAAAAGGTGTAGGGTCTTTGCTGTCGGACCTTGGTGAATGGGAAGATCCAAAGAGCAACAGTGGTCTCACTAAGATGGGGGTGGCATGCGGGGAAGAGCACCGTGGGAGTGTGGAGGCCCCGGCGCTCGCGTGGCCAGCCAGCACGGACAGCAGGCAAGCCACCGTGCCAGGTGCTGGCATCACATCGTGCAGCTCCTACTTCACAGACGTGGCTCCTCGTTTGACTGAGGGGTAGCGGGTGTCGGGGCTCAGAAAAGGTCAACTCCAATGTCCGGCTGCAGGGGTCTGACAACCCAGCTGCCGTGCTCTGCATCCACCACCGTGTCCGAGAGGAGGCCACGCTCCCCGGCGCCGCCCCCAGCCAGCGTTTGAGGGAGGCAGGCCCACCCCCGGGAGATGCGCGCTCCTCTGGCAGGTGATTTGGCCAGAAGACTGCCTGTTAACACGGCCAGACTTCCGTAGAGCCTCACTGCAGGCTGGGACCCCTCTTCCCCAGCAACACGGTCTGACGGCTCTCCCCGCCTCCCTGCTCAATTCTTTCCTCAAGCGTTGCCCCAGTAAGTCTCTTGCACGTCTAGTCCCATCTTGGTGTCTGCTTCTCGGAGGACCTGAACTAACACGGGGGAGAAAGCCAATAAAGTGGCAAAGAAATGAAGAGCTTCAATGAGGGAAATCAAGATGACACCTTGTCTAGAAAACTCGTGCTGGTGTCAGGTGGGGCTAGGCAGATGGCTTAGTTGGGAACAGTCCCTCTAAGTTGTTGTGTGTATCTGAACAAGTAACATCTGATGTTTCTGCCGGCCCAACGCATGTCTCTCCTCCTCTGGTAAAAATGCCCTGATTTTCCACGGGGCCACGGCTCCTGGCCCATCCCGTGGCCAGAGCATCCATCCTACCCTTGCTTCCCCCTTCTTCCAATGGCCACAGTGATTGGTGCAGGATCCAAGGATAAGACTTCAATCCTGGACCTTTGCTGGCTCTACTGGGAAAGAGGTCTTTACTTTCTGCTGGGTTGGGCCAAGCTTGGGGTTTCTCAGCCTGAAGCTTCTGGGAGCCGATCTTGCTACTCGCGGCGTGAGGCCAACACAAAAGGAAGCACAGTTAAGCAGGAGAAAAAGAGACTGACATCATTTGAGCTCCCTGGATCCAGGTGTTCACAGCTGAAGCCACAGCTATCCAAGGTTCCTGTGAGAATCAATAAATCCCCCCTTTTCACTTTAAAATGGACTTCTGTCACTTAAAACAGGAGCACTAATGCTTATGCTTCCCCTCCACAAGCCCCCATATATCCATCTCTAGGCGAGTGGGTGCTCTCAACCGGAGCCAGGAGCCACGCCTAGGATGTGGTGACCGACTGTCTGCCTCCTCCAGCAGGACCAGCTTCATGGGTGTGTGACAAGGGCAACGGCACAGGGTCCCTCACTCAGAGTCTGTGTTTGTTGTTTGTTTTTTAATACATTTATTTATTTATGGCTGCGGTGGGTCTTTGTTGCTGCTTGCGGGCTTTCTCTAGTTGCTGTGTGCAGGCTTCTCATTGCGGGGGCTTCTCTTTGTTGTGGAGCACGGGCTCCAGGCACGCGGGGCTTCAGTAGTTGCGGCACGTGGGCTCAGTAGTTGTGGCTCGCGGGCTCTAGAGCACAGGCTCAGTAGTTGTGGTGCATGGGCTTAGCTGCTCCGCGGCATGTGGGATCTTCCCGGACCAGGGCTCGAACCCGTGTCCCCTGCACTGGTAGGCGAACTCTCAACCACTGCACCACCAGGGAAGTCCTGTGTTTGGTTTAAAGCTCTGCTGTCACTGTCTTAAACTTTCTAGTAATTTTATCTTTGAAACCTGCAAGTGAAATCGGATGGGGCAATAGAGCATGCACGTGAGCAGAGGTGACACATGCTCTATGAGCATCTGCCGTTCCTTTCTGCCAAGTTCACAGACAGCGACTGTGAGTCTCTGCAAGCACAGAATCCTGGGGTCCCACATGCTGGGGAGTTGAGCAGGACTCGAGGGGAGAACAGGGTGAGTGTGTCGTGGCTGTGACTCAGTGGGGGCGCTGGCATGTCCCAGAGGCCACGCCCTCCTTTCCAATCAGGACTGGCTTCAGCTGCACAAAGAGGAATGCTGGTCAAAGACACAGGAGGGACTGGGGAGCCCTATCATGTCCTTTCTGTGATGCTTCTCTGGATGAGCCAACCTCTTCAGCAGCAGATAACCTCACAGAAGCAAAGGGAAGGAGGGGGCAACCCACAGTTCCTTTCCCTTCAGTTCTTTCTCATTCATCAGTAAGCCCAAGGTAGAGACTGTTGATAGGACGTGTACATTATCAAGAAGTGAAATAAAAACAGCTGAGTTAGTTTTGTGCAGTGTTTCCACTGCTCTGGTAGAAAATACAAACGCATGGACAAGGTTTGAAATACAGACTGTGAAATTTCACCAACTGTGCACGAGTTAAATGCTCTCATTGCCTTTAAAACTGGCACTGCAGAATATAAAGATGAATGGTAAAATTCACACTAATCATTTAAAGTTTTAATTTTTCTCTACTTATAACATTCAAGAGCAAACAAAAACACCACCACAAGGCTAAGAGAGACCACCGAAAGAATAAAAAGTTTTGTATTTTATACCTCTACTGGCACTTTTTAGATGATGATAAGTTTTTGTTTTAAAAAATTTTTTTTTTACTGAAATATAGTTGATTTACAATGCTGTGTTACCGGCACTTTTTTCTCTGACCTGTGGACCTGGGGTCTGCATGTGCATTTTGCGCCGGGCCCCAATTATGTGGCTTGCCTGGCCCTTCAGACTCACCTCACCCCACGCTGCGGCCGGGGGCTCCACAGGTGGGTAGAATTTGGGCAGGTCCCAGGCGATCTTGGTCATAAACCACTTGAAACTCTTGCAGTTAAGGGAGCTGCGGAGCTTTTTCTGGGCAGTTACATCTCCAGCGGAGAGGTGGCGGTACTCGGGCCGGCGCTGGTAGATGTGCTCCGCGTACTCATCCATCCACACCTCTGCCACTCGCTTCAGGTTCTGGAGGGGATAGGCAGGTGCAAGGGTCAGGCTCTCCGAAGGGCCAAAGAGAAAAGTGGGTACAAAGGGTCCTGGAGATGGAGGTCAACCTTTCTTATTTTATGCTGCATCAAGGACCACAGCCCCACCGTGTTTTTAAGTCTTCTATATTTCTATTTATTAATGTTTTAAGGACTCTACAACTTACGGTTGAATAATACACTGCTGCTGGTTTTCTTGCCCATCTTGCATCCCCTCTTTTTCTACAGATCGTCTCCCACTGATTTTCCTTTGGGGACCCACCCCTGCCTCACTATTATCTCCTGTGGCTGAAGAATAGGCATGTGACCCAGCCTGGCCAATGGGAATATAGATAGCTCAGACATAGGGATTGGTCAGCAGTGGGCATGTGACCTGGGCCAAGCCAATCAGAATCGAGAGGCATTAGTCCCGGAGGTTTTTTTTTTTTTTTTTTTTTTTCCCCCTGTAACTATGGGGAAGAATTGCTGGGTAAGATCTGGTGGGTAAGATGCTGAGAGCTGCTGGGCCATTTGGAAAGCCTGTCCAAGGTTGAAGTCAACCCAGAATGAGGCAGAGCTGAGGGTTAGAGCCAGGAACACATTGCTTCTTTTGGTTCCTGAATCCAGCCATGTCTGAAGCCAGAACTACCTCAGAGCTTTCCATTTACATGAGTGAGTAAATTCCCTTTCTGCTTAACCCAATTTGAGTTGGGTTTTGTCACATTCAACTAAGAGTGCTGCCCAAGTTGCCTGGTAAAAACGAATTATAATTTGCAATCAGAAGGTAAAATTCCCTCAGCAGCTGGAATTTTTAACAATCCTTTGAGGTGTTAAGGTTGCTACTTTGATTACAAAACACAAAGATAATCAATAAAAAATGACAACCATATTACTGGCAAGTAGAGGCAGGCAGCAGCAGGTGAGGAAACATCCTGTTTGTGAGTAGACTTGGAGAAAGAGGAAAAGTGAATTCTTCTGTGTAACTGTGATGAAAATCCCTCACTCCACCTGCAGTGTAGATCCCATCTGCTGAGAACCTCTTTTCTTGGAAGAGCAAAGCATCACGGTTCAGGGTAAATTCCCTGCTCCCAACACCTTCCTCCAACCCCAGGCTGTTGCCAGGATACATCCCCCGCTTTAATTCTCTAGGCTTTATCATATCATTTTCCCCCTACTGCAATCCAGGTTTCCTTCTGAAGGGTAAAAGCCAGTTAGCACTTTAGGCTGTTATCAATCACTCACACCTTAGTGTAAATGACTGCCCTAGAAGCAGAAGGTAAGGCTGCGGCTGGCAAATATTTTCTGTACAGGGCAAGACAGTAAATATTTTAGGCTTTGCAGACCATGTGGTCTCAACTCTGATGTAGCTATAAAGCAGCCCTAGACACTACGTAAGTGAATGGGTGTGGCTGTCAAAATTTATGGACACTGAAATTTGATTTTTTCATGTGTCACAAAATATTATTATTCTTTTGATTCCCCCCCCCCCACCAGCTATTTAAAAATGTAAAAACCATTCTTAGCTTACGGGTCACACAAAAATAGTTTGCCAACTCCTGAGTAAGGAGGCAGGAAGCTCACAGGAGGAAGGCCCTGGTATCGAAGCCCAAATCCACCAACTCCTCACTTTTGCTGGCTCTGAGTCTGGGACTGGGAAACTACAAAATTTCCTTGCCACTGTCCCGTTTTGTCTGAGTGCTGAAGAGGTCAACAGTGGGTCAGAAATCAGTTCAGGAACATTGTTATCCCCCCGCAGGCCCCTGCAGAGCAGAGGCTGGGTTTAATTTAAAACTGTGCCCAGAGGAAGCTGAAGGCCTAAGGGGGCCGGCACATCTGAAGAGTCTCCTTTTCCCGCCTTGCCACCCAGGTCCTCTGGCTCACTGTCTGATTTGCTCAAGCCACAGGGACGATGAGAGACCACTGTGGTTTCTTCTCCAACCACAGGCAAGGATGGCCAATCTGACCAAGGAAAGGTGTTAAAATTCACCAGGATTCTTATTCTTTTTTCTTGTGGTACGCGGGCCTCTCACTGTTGTGGCCTCTCCCTTTGTGGAGCACAGGCTCTGGATGCGCAGGCTCAGCGGCCATGGCTCACGGGCCCAGCTGCTCCGTGGCATGTGGGATCTTCCCGGACCGGGGCACGAACCTGTGTCCCCTGCAACGGCAGGCGGACTCTCAACCACTGCACCACCAGCGAAGCCCAGGATTCTTTTTAAAGGATCAAATCAAATAATATTCTAATTTTAAATGTTACTTAAATTACTATTTTAATGAATATTGCATTTTCCAGACATGGCTTAGTAAGTCATTTCTCCCAGATCTTGAACTTTTGTACAGTTATTGGGCCAAAGTAAGGGACTTTACGTTTATTTCTATTACCTCTCCCCTTGCTAGAGTCATGAAAAGGACTCTGGGATTTTAGCAGGCGGTGTGCTCCTCTTATCCCTACTCCTGACACCTTCCTAGTTCTGGGTCCCAGTCCTGTCTGAGGCACCCCTGCTTTTCTTGAGTTTGGATCACAGAGAATTGTCCAGAATCTTGGAATAAGTCTCCAAACAAAAATCAACTTTTGTTTTGCCAAGTTTGAGTGGGTTTCTGTTACTGCCTTCCCAAAGACCCCTTGCCCAGAGGCACAGACAAGAAGGATCTTAGCAAATTTAGTAAATAAATTAAGATTGGCTACTTCTTCTTGAGGCAGGCAAGCTGGTGGCCAGTTCATCCTTCCTGAATTGCTGCTCCACTGCTCCCTGGCTATTTGTCCTTCTGGAATCTGTATACCTTTAGTAAGACTTTGGTTTCCCTCTTTATCTGGCTCTCTTGGGGCTTTTAGGATACCTCTCCTCAAATCTATCAATATGATGTTCTAGGAGGCAACACTCTAGAAGGATCTGGTTGTTAAAACACTGAACAAACATGTAAAATATGATCTGCAACTAAGAGAGGGTAGTTAGATATTGTAATAAAAAGTTAGGAGAGCTTGATTCAGGCACCTTTGGACCTATCAACCTACATGGGCACTGCTCAGACTGAACTGGTTTAAAGTCAACAGGAGACTGATTCAGTCTGAATCAGGTGAAAAATCAGGTGAAAAAAGAAGTTAAAATGTGAAAACACAGAATTCAGATAAGACATTGAAATCAACTTTCCAGTCTTGCTAATATTGATGCTGACACTAATACTGCTAATAACAATAGCAGTCGCTATTTAAAGGACGACTACTCTGTGCCAGGCACTGGTCAGACCTAAGTGGGTTTGAATTCTGGCCCTAGTTTCTTTGTGTCTCTACATTTCACTGTCCTCATCTCTAAAATGGGGATTAAAAACAAGTGAGAACTAAGTGAGATAAGTATGTAAGATGCTTTGCACAATGCCTGGCTCAGGAAGTTTTTAATGTGTTACTACAGTTCATCTGTGGATCTATGAACAGGAGGTGGTGGTGTACCTTTACCGGGCGAGTCTTATATCAATACGTGACAGCTCTGGATAGGGAAAGGATGCTTTTGGGAGTGGTCCTGCTCAGGGGTCAGAGGACTGTCCTAATGGTCCCATAGTCCCTAGCAGTTGGAAGAGTCGCAGTCTTGGGCTTACTGAGCGACTCTGCGGTTTTCCTGCGTGGCTCCTTCCTCTGGGGTTGCCAACGGTATTTCAGATGAAACGCGATTCC